CAGACCAGGGGTGGTTATGATCCACGTGTGCTGGGGGGGGGCGAGGAAGAAGAGGGAGGTGACTGAGGGGCGGGAAGCCCCCCTGGCAGAGTCTGCACCCGAGCAATGACACAAATACAGACGGACAGACACACGGAGCATGTAAACAGGCACATGGGGAGACCACGTGCTGCTTCGCTGCCGGTGGCAGAGAGCAAGCCCAGAGCAAAGGCACACGCCAGCCGAAATGCACACACGGCCGCACACACGCACACAGTTTTCCCATGGGGGGGGAAGAGGGATCTTTCCAGCCTTGCCTTCATTTCCTGGAGTGCTTGGAAGGAAAAGCCAGTGAGCGGAGCTGGAGAGGTGAACAGCACCGAACAGTGATGGGAACAGCGTTGTACATCACGCTAAAAATAGTCCTTGTGATAAAGTCGGTCAGGGAGGGGGAGGAGGTGCCAGCAGCGCACAGCTGCCAGCGAGGTCTGCCAGGGGTTCGGAAGCCCGCACGTCAAGGATGGAGCAGAAGGAGCCTGGCTGGGCCGTAATTAGAGCTGGTAATTCGCTCCGAGCAGCACCGAGGCAATTAAGCAGCAGGCAGTTTGGGAGGGGGCCTGCCCAGGCACGTTGCACCCCTTTCTTCTTAGGGTGGATGGTTTGCAACCCTGGGAAATGGGAAGCGGAAAGCAATTGCTGCAGCTGGAATTGGCTGGGAACAGCTGGGCGCTCTGGTTTCCTTTGAAGTGACTCTCAGTTGTTAATTTGTTTGGAAGAGGAAGGCTCTCCGCATCTCCAGGGGTCTCGAGGTAGGGGGGAGAAGGCAGGCAGGGGCTGGGACATGGGCAAGGCGCTTAGGAAGAGCCAAAAGCAGAGTAAAGAGCCCCGATGAAGAAGGGAGAAGGTATCTGCAGGGAGCAGAGGGCAGCAGGGCAGGGCCAGGCTGTGCCGAGAGGGAGCCAGAGCTGGCGCTGGGAGAGGTGCTCTGGGCCAGGGTGACCCCCGTGAGACCCTGCGGCGGAGGGGGGGCAGGTGGAGGAGATGACGATGGGTGGGCAAGGTGTTGGATA